CCCCCCCCCCCCCCGTCTCTCTCTCTCTCTCTACCTTGCTTGGGTGAGTACCCTTTCTCTTCCTTTTGTTTTGGCTCTGTCCTCCGTGCCCTCGGTGTGCGTCTCTTCGTCTATCCTCTCTTTTGTCTTCCACATTCTACTCTCCCTCAGCGCCGCTCCCCCCTGCTCCCTTACCGCAGCCCGCTTTCAACACCGTAACGTGAAAAAAGTGAACCATTCCTGTCCCCAACACGTCTGATCTGTTGCCTTATCCTGTGCTCTGGTTTATGCAACCCTCCTCGTGTGGTGCTTTTGTCTTCCGTGTCTACCCTACTCTACTCGTACCACGACATGCCATGCCATGCCCTCGCAGTCACGACGCCAACCCATACGACCTGCTATACGTCGTTGGGGCGTTCGATACCATCTGCAAGGCCTGCCAGCAGCAGTACTGCAGCGCGGGCGTGTGGACGGGGCAGGTGTTCGACAAGGCGGGTGGAGTTTTTTCATCGTTTTCCGTATCTTAATCTGTGATCACCCTCCAAAACGGAGGAGGGAGCAACGCCACTGTTCGACAAGGCGCGTGGAGTTTTTTCGTCGTTTTCCGTTTCTTTTTCTGTGATCACCCTCCAAAACGGGGTAGGGGGCAACGCCACTGCCCTACCTTGTCCTTTCGTCTTGTTTTACCCTTGAAAGTCTTGGATATATGTGTGCTCCACCGCCCGATGCATTAAAAGTCGTAGACGTGCAAGCAGCGCTAGGACTAACCGTTATTTTATTCTCGGGTTTCCTCTCTTGTTTCTGCGATCAAAGACCAGCCCGCTAGTAGTTCGGAAGCCAGGTAATTGGTGTGTTTTTTGGTGTGCCCCTCCTTCTTCTTTTTCTCTGTTCTTGCTCTGTGCCGTGCCTGCGAGAGGCCAGGCTGTCACTAGAAGCCAATTGTGGACAAGCGCGTTGCTGCGTCTGTGACGTCACTGGCCCGATACCTCGCAACACCTGTGGACACGCGATCCCACGCTAGTCGTACAAGTATTGCCAGTTTTAGCGCGAGCGAAAGTCTACTACATGTCGTCATCTCGTAGTACCACACCATAAAATATCACGCGCACGTGTGGTGTGATACGCATCGCACCGCATCATTCACAGACAGTCGTGTATCATATCGTCGTTGTTGTTGTTGTTGTTGTCGTTGTTGTGGTTGTTTTATTCTTCGTTCAAGAAACCGTTCTTGTCTCTGCTCCTTACCTTCTATTGTGCGCACCACTCCAACTGACGCGGATGCCTTCCGTGGTCACAAGCCAACTGCCCAAAAAGGGTACATCACATGTACGTGCTTCTAAAAACAGTACCCATGGCATCACAACTCGTCGAAACGCTTCAGATCGGCGATGGACTCTGCGGCGTGCCTCGGGCAACAGACTCCGCCATGAAGATGTTCGCATCGGAGCTGACCCCGAGGGGAAATTTCTTCGTGGGTGGCACCTTCGAGAGCCGGGTCTGGAGCGGGGAGAAGTTCGTGGACGTGCGAAACGTGGCTGTATACCAGCCCCGCAAGAACGCCTGGCTGCCACTACAGAAGAACACGGTGAGGAAGGAAGCAGAAAACTTACAAGAGAGCGCAGAGGTGATGGATGTTTGGTTCCTTCTACAGACGAACACGGCGACGAAGAGACAGAAAGCCGATAAGAGACATGTGCCGTAACACAAATTGGTTAATGTTTGTCTCCTACAGGAGAACACGGCAGTGAGAAAAGACAACATAAATCATGTGAGAGACATGAGAAGCAGATAAGAGACATGTGCCGTAACACAAATTGGTTACTGTTTGTCTCCTTCTACAGAAGAACACGGCAGTAAGAAAAGAAAACATAAGTCATGTGAGAGACATGAGAAGCAGATAAGAGACATGTGCCGTAACACAAATTGGTTACTGTTTGTCTCCTTCTACAGAAGAACACGGCAGTAAGAAAAGAAAACATAAGTCATGTGAGAGACATGAGAAGCAGATAAGAGACATGTGCCGTAACACAAATTGGTTACTGTTTGTCTCCTTCTACAGAAGAACACGGCAGTAAGAAAAGAAAACATAAGTCATGTGAGAGACATGAGAAGCAGATAAGAGACATGTGCCGTAACACAAATTGGGTAATGTTTGTCTCCTTCTACAGAAGAACACGGCAGTGAGGAAAGAAAACGTAAATCTATGTGAGAGACATGAGCCGTACGGAAAAATTGAACACCTGGTTCCCTCTACAGAACCATGGCGAGGAAACAGGATTTAGAGAATTGAGTGAAAAATGCCGTAGCGCAGAATTGACGAAGGTGCAGCTCTTACTACAGAAGAACACGGTGACGAAGAAGGCGGAGAAATGACATGTGCCGTAACACAGAGTTGAGGAACCCCGGGCTCTCTCCACAGAAGAAGACGGTGAGGAAATGAACAGAGAATTGCCTTATATGTGCCGTAGCACAGAGTTACTGAACGGCCGGCTCTCTCTACAGAAGAACACTGCCGCGGGAAAACAGAAACCAACGGCGGATTGACATGTGCCGCCACACAGACTTGAACGCTTTGCTCGCTCTACAGAACACAGTGACGCAAGCAATAGGCAGAAATTTGACGTCTGCAGTACTGCTGTGGAGACGACCGTTCGAAACGCTGTTCGCGTCCGTCCCGAGTTGCTACAATTGAGGCCGATTCCCTATTTTCACACGTGGCGTTGTATACGGTTGTTGTCACATTGGCGTCGATCTACAGCCACCGACTTGCTCAGAGAAAAGGGAGAGAAAATCTCCCTCGACAGCCGTTGGGCATCTGTCATGGGCATCTTTTGAAGGTCATCCCCACAGTCCATTTCGCGTTTTGAGTTCAACAACGAGCACAACAGATTTGGACCGATTTGGGAGAGATTGCAGTCCGGCGATAGGTGTACCGTATGTGCATAATCACGTGGTTTAGTTATTGCTCGCTTCAAACAGGCATCCTACTGCCCCATAATTCGGTTCGTCAAGGCACCTAACCTGCAAAACAAGCGATCGTTTTGTTTTTTGCGGTAATGCTGCAAGCACCCCAACGGAAAATCCGGTGTGGGTCCGGGAGGAGTAACACCGTCTGTTGTTGGGGTTTACGGTAGTGTAGCTGTATCCCGAACCATGGTTACCTTTGAGTCGAGTGTCAAGTCAAGCATACCAGGCGAAAGGACGTGAGCATGCCGTGAGGGCGTCGGGTACACATACCACGTTGTGCTGAAGTGTTGAACAAGGCGCAGAAGATAAACAAATATGAGTGCCGCACACGAGACTGACTCACTGACTGCGCACGACCGATCGACGCTATAACGACTTTTTTTTTCTTTCGCGACAACTTCTTTCCTTTGCTCATCCTTTTTTTTTGGTTGCACTCGTACTCTGAAACCACCGGGTTTCAATCCCTTTCTTTTTCGTGCGGCGTTTCTTTTGGGGGGGGGGGTCAGGGCGGCGGCCTCGGGTGCAACTGGGCGGAGGCTCGCGTGATGAGCCTGGCGTGGAACGACGAGGACCAAGTGTTGTACATCGGAGGTTAGACAGAGACAGCGACAGAGACAGAGAGGGAAAATACGACAGTATGGTACAGCTGTAGTACAGCGGTAGCAGTGAGTTCGGCGGGGTTGCCGCCATCGGGTGTGGTCTGATACTTTCACTTTCACACCCCTTTATATCTGTGACTGTCTTCGTCCCATGTAGTGTGGCGCTAGTATTGTCTAGTATAGTCTAGTGTACACGCCTTGTGGTGTACATTTCTGACAAATCAGCCGGAGTAATACAGGAGGAAGGTCGCACAGGAGCATTCATTGTCGGAATATTGTATTTTCCTCCTCGCGGGTTAATGTTCTCCCTTCACGCGGGCGCATCAAAACGGCGTATTGTCAGAGAACAAAAATAACACTCGTGTGTGGTCCTCTCTCTCTTTATTACTTCCCTGTCCTGCTTCTTTGCTCTCTCGGATGTTGTTGGTGTACCTTCAGTGGGTGCCTTTTTTTTGCTTGTCCAAATTCGAAGAAAAAACTAACTAAAGTGCACACACCTTCTACCCTTTGTTTGAACTGCTTTTTATCTCTCGTTTTTCACTCTCGTGAGCCTCCCCTCCCCTTATTCTGCAGAACGCCTCCTCGATGCTTGTTTCTTCATCGAGCCCCTTTGGTGTGTGTGTGTGTGTTTTTTTTTTTTTTCTCCGCCTGACCTGGTGTAGGCAAGTTTAACCTCGTCGATAGCGAGTACATCCAGCCAGGCCTAGCTATCTGGAGCAACGACACCGGTATCGCAGCTTTTCCAGGTGCGATCCTATGGGGAAACGCTAGGATGTCCCCGGCAACGATTTTGAATACGGTAGCGAACTGGGAGATCAACTGCAATGATGCGGTCGGTCATTTGCTAACGGCAACACCACCACCGGAGAAAACCTTGGGAGTAACGATGCCATGCTACTCTCATGTCAGCCGGTAAGGCAGGCTAGTTAGCATCCGGTACGGTACCTAAGGCCAGCAAGTTGCAACTGTTGAATGCCAGCATTGCGTCTCGAAAAGAGGTGGTGGTGGAGGTACACGTAGCCTGGAGGTATTGATCCATTGATCCACTCACCGTTGTCGAGACGGAGCGGAAAATCAATCGTGCCTGACGCATCCATCGTGTGGTTCCGTGCCATGTTCTCATTCTGTTTTTCGCAGGCGGCGGGGTTAGCTTCGACACGCCATGGTGGGGGGATTCGTCTTGGGTGTTCGACGGAGTGGTCACGTCCCTCACTTACGACGCAGCCACCCGCAGTCTGTACGTCGCCGGTGCCTTCGACAGGGTCAACGGGGAGGCCCCTTGCCAAAGCATCGCCGTGAGTGCGGAGAAGAGAATTTGCGCGTAACATACAGCAGCGAATAGTCTCGGTTTGATGTGCAAGAAGAGAATACAGCACAGCAGTTGTTGTTGTTGTTGTCTTCACATTAAACCGTATGTCAGTTGCCAAATGCCAAAGTCTAGCAAAGACTCTCAGCCCGTGGTCACGAAAGTGCTAGAGCCATCTGAGGATCTAAAGACACGCACACATATAACGAGAAAAAGGTATCCAAGAGCCCGAAGAGGTACACCTAAAAATCCCTGCAGCACCGTATGCGTGCCCAAAAACTGAACTGCACGTCCGTCCCACCGTTCGACTACAGTAACATCACCCCCTCCCTGTCCCAATCTATACCAAAACGGAAGATTGCCGACTACAGCATACTGCTGTCTGAAGTGCTGTCTGTACAAAAACACCATGGTAGGCATGGAACAAGCAGCTGGCGGGGCACAAAGCTGCTGTCTGAAGTGCTGTCAGAATGTGTCTGCGGCCGTACAGTGAAAAAGAACAACCAATCAAAGCCATCATAGCAGCAATTGACAATCACCCGAATCTCTCCCGATCGTCTGTGCTAGGCACTGCAGTGAGAAATATCGACACTACTTAAGAATCGTTCCACATTGAAGGGGTCTTCCACGATCAGGCACATAACCAAGGCACCCGGGTTAGCCACGCCATCTCTGACGGGTCTCTCTACAAAACCAGTGACGACGTCATCACATAGAACCAACACCGAAAATCAGGAAAAAAACGAGAAAAATTGACAACACAGATCAGATATAAATGTTTGTCCGTGCGCCACGGGTCGATGTCGCCCGCATGCTCCGGTGCCGCTGCTCCGTCCGGCGCCGCTGTAGTCAGCCCGAGCATAACGCCACTCGACCTGCTCCGTCCGTACACGCTCTCGTTGCTGTCCTTCCCAGTCGGTTCCTCGCTTTCTCCCTCGTTGCACTCAAGGTTCTTGGTCTGAAAAATAAAAATTCTCGCGCCGAAGGGGTCAACCAGCCCAGTTCAGCTCGTCGCCACCTGCTCCCTCCTCCTTTGATGGCGAAGCCAGGTTACTGAGGCAATGCAGCGCCCTCTAGCCAACCTAGGGCCGTGTACATAGTTCCCGTCCACCTTCTGACGGTGTCTGCCTCCGCGCACAAAAAATGAGATGGGCATCGCTGCCTACGCCGACGGCCAGAGGCCCGCGCATCTACATTTTTTCGCCTGACCCCATCAGTGCCGACCCAACTACACCACCACGCGCATGCCTCGCGGCGGATATGCGCAGCAGCAAGAAGGTTTCGGTCATCCCTTGAGGGTGAGTCTAGCCCTGCTCGCCAGAAAGACCCCCCCCTTCACTACAACCCATGTCTAAGCAAAAGCTTGTCGAGGAGCGAGGGGAAGAAGGGAGAGTAGTAGAAATGAAGAAATCGACGCTGAGAATCAAGGCGTAGGGAGTAGCGTTAGTCTATGACAAGGTCGGGTTCCGCACTAAATACCCCGAGACATACTAGAAAGACTATGGCTCGACCTTTGCCCCACGTAGGACAGCTCAGGCTTGACCTGATTGTACGATGCCTCATAGTAATAGTTCTGTCTGTTACTTGGGCTGCTGCTGCTTGTTGAAATGATCATGTTCTTATTTTTCAGGATTCTTGTCCGCCGCCTTTTTTGTCGTGCTGATTGTGTTTTGTAAATTTTTGGTGTTTTATTACTTGGCGGATTTTTGGGTAGGGAGACTTATGTGAAAAACACCAAGGGATATCTACGATACTAGCTATTAGCGTGTACGGTAAAGAGCGCCCATTCCACTACGAAAAAAGATAGCACTCGGCTTCCGCAAACGACAGTAATCTCGTTCAAACTACCGCACCGTTTCTACCGAATCCCTACGAAATGAATCCCTTCGCCGTCACCACCGTCACCCCCGTTTTGTCGGTAAACATAATGTAGGTGTGGAAGGTGGACGAGGGGTCATGGGCCTGCCTCCACGAGACTAGCCACGGCTTCTCCGTCGTCACCTCCCTCCTCTACACCGGCAGCATGCTCTATGTCGCCGGGGTGCCCGACGAGGACTCTTCCTGGGCAGATACGTGGAGAGCCGGCTACGGCTACGCCGTCGAGAGCGGTAGCGACAGCGGTAGCGTTAGTAGCGGCGGTGGTGCGGTCAACGCGACGCGGTACACGATCGCTCGGATGAGCCAGAGCCCGATGCGCTTCCACGGGAAGTACGAGAAGTGGGGGGGAGGGGATGGGGCGGAAAATGCTGGGGAGGAGGACGAGAAGGAGAAGGAAAAGGAAGGGTCATCTTCAAAGGTAACGGGTGCCATGGGGGGCTGGGGTAAGAGGTCATACTTGTAGATGTAGCGGGGTACAGTAAGCAATAGGGTTCGTGTAGATGACCTTCTAACGGTGGTGTTTGGGTGTTATTTAATATGCGGCGGGACATGCATGGCCTTGCTTTTGTTGGGGCTACGCGGGCGGCCGGACNGGGGGGGGGGGGGTGCAGCAGCCGAGAGAATGCCCTTCGTTTTAGCTCAAACACCTGCTTATTGGCCCGGTTGTGTTGTACGTACATCTGACTGGTTTGATCTGTTTCGTCGGGTTTTCCAGCTCCCGCTGCCTCCTTTGAGTGGGTCTTTGGCTGCGGTCACCGACTGCCTACGCACTCAGCTCGCGTGTGGTTTCGGTAGTATTGTCGCCGGTCGCTCGCGGAGGAAACGGACACCCTACCTCACGTTGCTCAACCCGTGAGACACCTCACACGATTACTTTATTCCATGATCGTTTCCTCGAATAACATTGCCTTGGCTGCGGGTAGGGGGGGACAGGGGCTTCTTTGAACGGCGGCCACAATAAAAAGCACGGGCGCGCTCGTCAACGATCGCGGCGACACCTTCAAGAACACCGACAACGAGAACGTGGAGGAGAAG